AAGAAATTATTAATAATCGGCGAATGTTGACAGATGTGCAGGAAATTAAAATAGTAGAACATTATGTTCTTCAAGGAAAAAACATTACAATTATTCTTATATGTATGCAATAATGTTATTTTTATGTATAAAAGATGTTTTAACTAATTTATATTTAAAATGGAGAAAATTTTATAATGTATGGCATATCTTATAATTTAGTGCTGCTAATACCTATGACACTTCTATTTTTAATAATGGAATATCTACCGGACATCCTCGATTTTTTTCAACCGTTAAATAAATCACGTATACATTATTTATCATTTTTGCCAAAATACCACATAAATATAAATAATGGAATACAGTTTTATTCTTTATTCTTGTATTCTATAACAAGTACGATTATTGGTCTTTTTTCGATAGTAACTGTCGTTTCGATGGGTCTAATGGTTAGTTTATATTGCTGCGCACTATTTAAAATTTGCAGGTAAGATCAAGAAATGTAAAAATTGTGAAACTTTTAACAGTATTTTCTTAGATTGATATTATAAGAAAATGAATAATTGTACTGTTTGCGCGGTTTAACAACTTAATATCATCAGTTATCGAATGAAACAATTCATGGACAAGAAGGAAGTAGCATGCTTTAACAACAGAAACGTTATCGTCAATAGAATAATTAGATTAGTAGAACTTCATCGAAATGCACAGAAGTAAGTATCTAAAACTATAAGTATGACAAAATTATTAATTCTTTACTTAATAATAAAATTGTTCTATTGTTTGATTTATTGCGCTTTCAAGGCTTTTTAAATTGTTGTTTACAAGTTTTACGATAACTTATCTTTTTATCCTAGTAATAGGCACATGTTCCATCATTGCAAATTTATATACAGTAAGTACCTCCTCTTTTGTAATATCTATGTTATAACTTATATCAAATATTTCATTATAGTTCATGTTGTTTCTAATATCCTATAACGGCTTTCAAACATACAATATATATATATATATATATATATCACATATATATTAGGAGTACAAATTAATTCTCAACCTTTGTTGACCTCCCCGTTGTTGTAAGCGATAGAAAACGTCTTGCTGGGTTACTCCAAATGTATTTGCAAGTTCTAATTGCGATTACCAAGAATTCTCGTTCAAAATTTCCTCCAACTCTACGTCTTTCACTTTTTTGGTTGACGAGGACGTTCACGATCTTCAAGATCGAACTTTCCCTCTCAAAACTGTTGGAATCATTTTTTACATGTATACTGTACGATAAAGCATTTTCTCCCAAAGCCGAACAAATTTCTTTTGCCTCAGCCGCGTTTTTTTTTTAAGTTGAAACGCGAAAAGGAAGCAGTGCCTCAAATGTTGCCTTTGGTAATTGTTCACTTTAGGGGAGCCACCTCCAATGACCTTGATCTTGACATATGTTGTCACCCTGAGTAACCTCCAACAAGTTTTAGCCGTCGCTCGCCCTTCGTTAAAAAGTTATGAAAAATTAAAGTCTTAAAAATAATGTATCATTTCTGCAAAGGGGTGTATAGGGTGTATAAAGCGACATAGAAGTTGCAAGCTCAGTACATTCAGAAACGTTAAACTTTCTACGCGAAGTAACTTTCACCCCCCCTCCCTGCAAAGGGGCACACGATTTCTATGATTGTACTGTTGCTATTGTATTGTCAGGGCAGACCTCTGTCGACGGTGTGGGTGCGGGGGGGGGGCTGAAGGCCACCCCCTTGCACTCGCCCGTGTGTGTGTGTGTGTGTGTGTGTGTGTGTGTGTGTAAAACATCAAGTAATAGACTCATAATCGTTATATATTAAATAGAACACCGTCGACAGAGGTCTGCCCCGACAGTACTATCATAGCAACAGTACAATCGTAGAAGTCGTGTGCCCCTGTACAAGGAGGGGGGAGGATAAAAGTTACTTCGCGTAGAAAGTTTAACGTTCCTAAACAAGGAAAGGTGTAGAATAGTACTTAATAGCATACATGTATTATATATCATATGTTAATTTTAAAACTATGATTGTTAATAACTTTTTAACGAAGCGACGGCTAAAACTTGTTGGAGGTTACTCAGAGTCATGATCTTGACAACATATGTCAAGGTCAAGGTCATTGGAGGTGGCTCCCCTAAAGTGAACAATTACCGACATTTTTTGTATCTAAAAGACGACTTAAAGACGTTCTATGTCACAATTTTAGACTTTATGTTATTTGGAATTTTACCTATATATTACATTTTTCAAAATGACATAAGTAAGTCTGAGTTTGAGCATATGCACCTAGAGCCATCTAGATGTGAACAATATAGTCTTGCGATGATAAAGGGCTGAACTAATATATGCATGAAAAGTGATGATTTTAACGACAAATTTGTGTTAGGTGCCATTTCGTTATTATGTGCTTAATTGTGAAAATGTGACTTTTGTCTCGTACTTATAAAAATAGACGAAAACTAAAGTTATCTTGAAATTTTATACGTAAAAGCATGTTTCTTACTTGTTTCAACAATTGTTAAATCATGTGTTTTCCATACATAGACTTACTTTACGTGCCGTTTATGACCATTTACTAATTGTTAAGGAAAAAAAAGAGTCTTTGTCCATTTTTACAAGTGTTTTAAAGCGATCTTGTCGTTTCGATTTATTCAAATTGTCTTTTATATATTTACATGGCACGTAATATAAATTAATGTGTCATCTCTCGCTTCTGTTATGTTACAATTCCAATATGGTCTACTCAGGGTCAGTGTTACCAGATCTGAGCCACGCGACGCCGACGCCACGTACACAAAGCCAAGCGACGTTACGTACGTGTGCGAAAGGCCGAGCATTTGTAATCTGGTAACACTGCTCAGAGGTCTTAATCATTTATTAATATCGATAGCAATAAGCCTAGAACATCCTTTGGAAATGTTGTACTGTCCGGGTAATATAGAGGACGGCTGTTATGCAGGTTGCAATATTGAAAGAAAAGGCCATTCTATATAAGACGCAGAACGCAGATCGCGAGTGAAACGTATTTCAGATTGTGATAGATTGCAGACCGAAATATGAAGGATGCAGGACGCAGGACGCAAAAGTTGAAATTCACCCAACTTCCTGCGTCCTGCATTCTGCGTCCTACAACCTATTATAACTGAAATATGTTAGGTTAGTTTCTAGTCTTGCGACCTGCGACCTGTGTTCTGCGTCTTATGTAGAATGGCCTTTTCAACTTTTGCGTCCTGCGTCCTTCATATTTCGGTCTGCAACCTATCACAATCTGAAATACGTTTCACTCATGACCTGCGATCTGCGTTCTGCGTTTTATGTAGAATGGCCTTTATAATGATATACTTGTGATATCTCGTGGATCTAAGACGTTCGTGGGATCTCTTATATGCGGACACTTATGTGTACATCTCTTGAATATCCATTGAATAACTGGAACTGTCCACGGATATCACAAGATTACTGCAATATTCTAAAATGACGTTCGTTGGATATTTCTAAGATAAAATGTGCTGTGTAGGATGTTTGTTAAAATTAAAAAAATGTTCTCATACACGCACATACATATTAAAATAATTTTTTATTATAATTATAATTATTTAAATCATTTTGTTACTAATATGTTAATAGTTTGTGAACGCAGTAATACATAGGGATAATTGGATTAAAATTTCACTAAGAATAAGTTATATTGTTGCACATGAGTTTCATCTATTTGGAAGTACTTTAATCGGGCAAATGATGGTAAACCATGGTGATGAATTCTTTAATGCAATGTGAGTAGCAAATTTGTACTTTTTATACAAAACTATACATAAATTAAAAAAATCATATATAATAGTTTTACTTTAATTATTTTATAAATTTATTTTCCTCATATATATATATATATATATATATATATATATACACATATATATTAATTAAACTTTTTATTAATTTTAAATTTTTTAAAAGTCTGTGTTTATATTTGTGTAAAATTATTATAAATAATTTTTCATATAGGGGAGAATGAGGGAATACGGAGCAACTAAGGAAAAGTAGAATATTTACTATAAAAAACATTTTAAACGCAAAGTTGACATCTCGTCTATCACTGTATTACAGATTTAATAACATTTTCACCTCATATTATATGAAATTATGGCTTTATAAAAAAGTTCATTTGCGTCGTATTACCCAGTGTGTAATGTGACGCACTGCAGTTTTTATACTAAAAGATCATTGAAATCGATACCGTTTTCTGATCTTGTCATCAAATTTTAGTTAAAAAATTTCAATAAGAAAGTAATGTTTCTCTTGTTCAATTATTAATGTACATGCATAAGGCTTATTAGAAGAAACGAAATTATATGTATGTATTTGACGTATAAGAAAGGTATATTAAAATAACTTTTAATAGATAAAAATTAAAAAAAGATGAATTGTTTTGAAATTTTGTATACATCACTTAGTTAAACATAATTGCATCAAATAATATTAATATTCGAAGTATTGGCTAATGCAAATTGTTACAATAATAATGTGCCGTATGAGGGCGCGGCGTTGCCCTATTCTCTCCTACAAATATATGTATAAATATAATATCATTTAATATGCAGTTTTTGTTTAATTTCTCGTATAACAAAGAAATACATAAGTTATTTACATTTATCAAATAAATTGCATACAATATGAATAATTGAAGATTAACAATCTCAGATTATTACAAATATTATCGTCTTCTTGATACTATAAAACTTTTGTAAATAAATAATCTTATATTTCTAAAAATTGCGAAAATATTCGAGGTGAACAAAAGTTATTACTTAATGTATATATTATAAGGTGTTTAATAACGACTTTTCATGAGTAGATAAAGCAGACTAAATTGAATTGAAAAATTCTGTACTTTCGTAGTTTTTGTTAATAAGAAACTAATTCCTTAAGATTGCCGAATGAGGGTGTATCTATTGTATTCTAGTGTCTAGTGACATTAAATCAGTGTATCAGTAAAAAATTAAATTTTTCTAGATACATGTCGCTGTGGTACAAGGCACCTGTAACAGTACAGAAATTGTTATTGTTTATGATGCAAATCACTTCGAAAAGCCTTGTACCGAATATTGGTGGTTTATACGTTTCAGTATTGGAAAGCTTTACCACGGTAAGAGATAGCGCAAATAGAGAGTGCGATAGTGATCTCTTATTAACAAGCTCTCAGTTTCATTGAATTATTTGTTATAGGTTTCGAAAATGGCACTATCCTTCGCGATGATACTTTACTCCTGTAATACAACGGATTCATAATCCAACACAGAAAATGTAGTTCGTAGTAATATTCATGGAAAAATTTTCTACAGTAGAATAACATAGGAAGATATAATTTGATTAAATAAAACAATTGTTTCTGCTATTTTTTTCATTAATAAACATATTTTATTACCTATCTTAATATTCGAGAGATTTTACACATAACAGATTTTAATAAACCTTATTTAAGAATTTATTTAATTATATTAAACACAATTTTGATGTTTCTTTTTTTCTATATCTTCTTTAATTTAGTATAGATATGCTTTTATCGATATTATCCTATTTTATAATGTTGTTCATTTATTTTTGTGATATATTAATTACATGCCGAAATAAATATATTAATGATTTTATTACATATAAAAGATTAATGTTGTTTATTCGTAAAATATTTCTTGTTTATTCTATTTTTCAAATTTTGCAATAGTTGTTAATTGCTAAAAATATAATTATTACATTATTATCTATAAATTATAATATTAACATAACTTTGTTTTTTAAGAATGCGTTTCTTGATCTATAATTTATTAATTTTTATTCTTTATTGAATATTAGTAAAATAAAGAAACGCAGTATACAATGGTTGAATGATAATATCTAACGTTACTAGTTTATAAGTTTGTGTTAATTTAAAATATATCTTTTCCTTCACACATGAATTTTATTTTATTCCCTCTTAAAAATTATTATGAAGAGTTGCGTGTTTAATGTAATTTGAGCTTATTTTTTTTCTCACAAAAATATCGAAGGATATAAGTGCATAATCGATCGAAACTTTCTAGTGCTCTGCATATAGCTCTGGATAATTTCGCAATTATTATTATTCGCATCAATCATGTTTCGACTATCTGTAATACTTTATAGAGAGAGAAAAAGGCTCTCGTCGTTATCGAGTGCATATATAGTTTGGCATTCATGGAAAGATGATCGTGCTTGAGAGTTGGTATTATAATGTTAATAGAATTTGTTTAGTGATATGCGGTTTGTGGCCTTATCAAAATACGAAATTGCGGTACGTACGAGCCATGTCCATATTAGGAATATTTATCTGGTTTGTGGTTTATCAGGTACATGTTAATTCAACCAAAAGAATATATTTCAGAGTTATGACTATTTTTTTATATCTTTATATTTTATTGTTTTTAGTTTAGATTATTGTTTATTTATGAATACAATTTTAAATTAGCTTTGAAGATCTGTTCGGATATTTTTCCTGCTATTTTGTGTATATTGCAATTCATCGCCTTTTTAATTAAACCGAAAGAAGTGAGTCATTATTCCACTTTTAATTTCTTAAAATACTAAATCCATAAGAATTTACTGTCAAAAAAAGTACGATATACACACCAAGTAATTTGATATAATACGATATATGACACACACACGCGTGCGCGATGTTTACGAAAGAAATCATGTACTATTTATAGATGAAAAAGTTATTAAACCAGATTTGCGAAGAATGGAATGCGCTGAAAGATTCTAAAGAAATTGAGATAATAAAAAAATATGGAACGTTTACGAGGCGGCTTACAGAAGCATTATTTTGTAAGAATTTTAAAAGAGTCCTGTTTGATAAAGATAGATTTATAATTTTGTTGTTTAAAACAAATCTACTTTAGATGAATATTTTTTTATAAATTCAAGAATTTTTCAGTGTGCGGCTTATTAAGCTGGTTTTTTCTGGTGCTAATGCATCTTATTCCGATCAACATCGATGATTCAGCGATAGCCAACAAATCTTTCTTAAGACAAGATATTTTAATACAACTAGATAAAAAAAGATACATCTACTTATTTCTCATAATTGTTTTTATAGGTGTTTTCGTGTTAACAACCACAACATCGATGGTTTTAGCATACATGCGGCATATGTGTGTTCTGTTAAAAATAACCCGGTAGAAGTCTTCGATGTTTACATATGTTTGTCAAGATATGTTCTAATTAACATGAAGTATGTATTTATAGCTATCGTATCGAACATTCATTGGACGGAAATACCTTACGTGTATCAATTTCTCAAAAAAATCGCCTGATGTATCAGAAGTTAATTAGCGCCGTCAACATTCAACGAAGAGCTTTGGAGTTAGTATATTAATTTAAAATAATAACTTTTTTTGCAATGTATACTACAATACATCTATTATAGTACATTGTGTAACGTGTGGGGGCTAGTGTTATGGCGCGAAGGACACGAAAGCACGAGCGAAGCGAGTGCGTTATTCGCGCCCGTCCCGCGCTATATACACTATACCCCCACTAGTTACTCATAATATTTTATGTCACGCGTTCGCGTGACATAAAAATGAATAACCTCAAAACTTGAACTCTGATTTACCATATGGAAGTTTCAGTTATACATATATACAATAATTATATCACTGTTATGCTATTAAAAAATGTTTATTTTATCGTTATTTTTTCTGATAATTTTTATGTACATTCTACTATTAATGGTATAATATTAAATATGTAATACTTCCTTTTGGAATAGTAAATTGTACAGGGTATATTCTAAATACATTAAAAAAGGTATTAAGGAATTATTTTTTTTCACACATTTAGTTAAAAAAAAACAGCATGTTAAAGTGGAAAGAAAAATTTCGTTTTATCTAAAAATTTTGAAAACCACCTTATATTTAAAGTTTTATCAAAATAATTCGAACGTTTTTTAAATTTTTGGAAAAAACGAAATATTTTAATACTCTATTTTTTAACACTCTGAAACTAAACCATTCAGATCATATACTATATATGATTATATGAAACTTTTTTGTCTTGAATTTGTGCGAGAAATCACCTTTTAAAATCTTTTAGCGTACTTAGTACGCGTATACATCAGAGTTGGCTAGTAACTAGTTAAAATGTTGAAAGTTAATAACTTTTAACTTATTATAATTTAATTAATTTTAAATGCATTAATTTTTAACTTATTTTAGTTACTTTTAAATATTAATTTATTAACTTTTCTCTTAAATTAAAATTTTTTTCATATCCTTTGATGCCAATATTTTTTCTATAAGATCTTAAAGCATTAGAAAATTAATTTAGAAAAATTTCGGCGCGCATTTAAGAATCTACATACATAATATATCAATTCACATGAAATTATATATTAGAAGCATCCAAGATCCAACTTGATAAATGACTTATTTTCATCGGTATTTAGTTTGAAAACTCTCACGGTTCAAATAAGATTTGATATAACTTAAAAAAATTCAAAGATTTTGTGATTACAGATTCTATAATAAGAGTCGCACGCTATAAGATATAACCATAGTTTTGATTAGCTCGCTAAGTTTTATCAGCTCTTGCTTATATTTAAGTTATATTTCAGCAATATATAATAAATATAAAATAAGCCTTAGATGCAGAATTGTTATAAAACGATACTACACATTTACGCATTTTCTAAATACATATCATATTCTTTTGGATATATCTTATATGTGAATAAAAAAATTTAATTTACCTAATGATTTATATTATAATTGTTATTTAAAGTTATATCATTTTTTTTTAAATGAAGATATTCTGTGTGTGTGTGTGTGTGTGTGTGTGTGTGACCTCAAAAAAAATATTTTTTAAATTAACTTTTTTTAAATTTAAGTTAATTCAATTTTAACTTAAGTTTTATTAAGTTAATGTTTTGTTCCTTCAACTTTTAACGTAACTTTATTAATTTTATAAGTAATGAACTTTAACTTAATTTAGTTTAAAAAAACGTTAACTTACCCAACTCTAATATATACCCTATATAAGAGATTACAGAATTTGACTGCTGTTATTCTTTTACTCAAATTGATGTTGAAATGAATGAATCATGAATAGATACCGAATTTCCTTGCTGTTTTGAAGGTTTGCGCAACGTGCCTTAGACAACCTTAAAGAGTCCTACTTCTTTTTGATGGGAATAGGTGTAGCTTCGTTGGCAATTAATTTATTACACGTAAGTAATCTCTATTCATGCATTACCAGTTTGATTCTGTACTTGAAATGATTTTTATTCATTTCGTTTTAACGTGTTAATTTCAGGCAATAAAAGCTGCATTAATTGCAGATAACGCGAATGAGCTAGCGATATCTACTTTTTATGTCATTATTCATTTTTTTTATATTTTTATAGGAAATTATGGCGGACAGACAATTACGGATCATAGCGCAGATGTATTAACAGCGTTGTAAGTTATTACAAATTTTTGCACAATTTGTATGTGCCTGCATAATTAAGAACAAATTGGATAATAAGCAATATATTTTAACTATACAATAATAAATAGTTTATATCGTAAAAATGAATTTTCAGATATCATGTGCAATGGTACATAGCACCAATAGAGGTGCAAAAATTAATTCTTTTCTTAATGCTAAAAAATACAAAACATTTCGGTTTAGTAATTGGAGGAATATATGTTGCTTCATTAGAAGGTTTTATTACGGTGAGAAAATTTACAATGAACAATCAGTGCAATTATTTAACAAATTATGTATGTAAATATGATCTTGCGTATTGCATATTCCGTATCAGTATCTAGTTCCATAATTATTATTAGTCTCTGTGCAATGTTACGATTTTATTTCTTATAAATATGTTTAATTATAAAAATAATATATATATATATAAATAATACTATATGATAAAATATAATTTCAGCTTACAAGTATGTCGTTATCTTATTTTATGGTAATCTATTCTACGCAATGACGAACATGTATTATAACAAAAATAATATAATTATAATAAATTGCACGAATTGTAGTTGTGTTAATAATACTCCATTAAAAAATATTATATATTATAAATAATTATAAATAATTATATATATTATATATTACTATAAAAAATGATCATCAATCTTATGCCTAACGTTTTCAAATAATCCATTACATAAAAATAAGTATATTTTATATTATAAAATAAAAGAATATTTTACGACTTGATAATAAAACGAAGTGTAATCGTGAAAAATCGTGATATGTATGTTATTATTAAGTGA